GCTACCAACAAACTCTTGGGCAGGACTTTCAAAGGTTTTCTGTGGTGATTTTTAATATTCTCAAATAAAAGAGAGTTCCTTGAGAGCTTGGCACAAAGAAAATGGAAACCATGCTGGTACCAAATCAACCCGTGTTCCTTGAAGAAATCTCATTGTTGAGAAAATTCCCACTTTTAAAATTTACTTGTTGGGGCGGCGCCCATAGCTCAGTGGTTAGGATGCCGGCCACATACACCAGGGCTGGCGGGTTCGAACCGGGCCTGGCCTGCTAAGCAACGATGACAACTGCAACAAAAAAATAGCTGGGCGTTGTTGTGGCACCTGTGATCCCAGCGACCTGGGAGGCTGAGGCAAGAGAATCACGCAAGAGTTGTAAGCTGCTGTGAGCTGTGACGCTACAGCGCTCTACTGAGGGTGACATACACACTGTCTCAAAAAAATAAAATAAAATTTGTTTGTTACCTTATTCCCAAAAGATTTATGAGACTGTGTAATGATAGCATACACACATAAGTGGCACAAGAAAAAAAAAGTAAGGTTAGAGGAAGGGGAGTTTAAAGCGTCTGGGTGGGATGGGGCGGATTTAAAATACAGCTGGGAATGGAGCTAAGGATTGTACCTTAGTGACCTTTGCTCATGCTCCAGTGAGCTCTGAGTAACTATAGCTTCTCAAACATGCCTTTATAGAACCAAAAATATACTTGTCCTTCCAGAATATTCCCTTTCTTTGGAAAAAAATTGTTGGAGCTGTCATGACTGAGAAACCCTTTTAAATATAGATTTTTTTGACTTTATGATGGTGTGAAAACCATGTTTTCAGTAGAAACTACTTCCAGTACCCACACAACCATTCTGTTTTCTACTTCTAGTACAGCATTCAATAAATTATGTGTGAGATACATCACATATCGTACCATGGGCTTTGTGTTAGATGAGTTTGCCCAGCTAACGTACGTAGGTGTTCTGAGCATGTTCCAGGTATGCTTGGCTAAGCCAAGTGTGTACCGTTTGGGAGGTTTAAGTGTATTAAATGGATTTTCAACTTAGGATATTCTCAATTTGTGATGAGTTTATTGGGGTATAACCCCATGGTAAATTGAGGAGCATCTATACTGAGCTCTTTTCCCACTTTCCAGCAACCCTCAGAGTTACCTTCTGACAACCACAGTGCCTACTACTCTGACTACTGTGCTGTCCTTAATCCACATCTATGAATGGTCCTTGTATTTAATAATGGGGGGATTTTAATATTATAAATAACTACCCCCATTTCTTAACATTTGAAATAGCTTAACTATAGCTTTATAAGAGATTTTACTAGTTTTAGAAAGCAGTTATATTTACACAGTATAGTGTCCAGGAAGGCAGCCACCCTTGGTTAAGAACCATTGGAGGAAAAATTAGATTAGAATGAGTGCAGCTGGAACCTTCAGACCCTCTTTTTGAATATTTCAAGCTGTGGTTTACTTTGAAGATTAAAGAGGAGTCAGACTCGAATCTCTGAAACTAGAAAATTTTTTCTAGTTTATCAAATGAGGCCTTCAAGTGTGTTTCTTAAATGCTTACTTCCACATAAGGTTTTCTAGTGGATTCAAATGTGGAATCTTATCTGAAATCCCCCACTAGAGCCACTAGACAGTGCAATACTTGTGGTACTTACATCATACTGAAAAGTAGCTGAGAACTCCAGTGTTTGGAAGAACAGCTCAAGCCTTGAAGCAGCAATATCCAAATAAGGTACCAAGCACTGAACTTAGATTCAGACCGAAGGATACCTCACAGATCTGAAGTCAAATACAGCCCTGGGCTTAGTAATCCTCAGGTTGACTTGAGCTTTTT